TTTTTTTTTTTTTTTGGGCAATACGCTTCTCTCACATTTCACAAGTGTTTGTGAAACTACTTCATACCATTACTTCATACCTGTTTTTGCGTGTTGACAGCTTGCACACTCCACTCTTCAAGCGTGTCAGTGCACCATATGGCCGTCACCATCAAGACTCTATAAAAGTGAACAAATTGCCTGATTTGCACATTTGCTTCCACTATTAGCTCTGTTCCTCTTACAGCACAGCATTGCCTAAGCAAAGGAACTCCATTACCAATCCATTGCATCAAAATCCCACATTAACCTCATCCCGTAGAGGCAGTTCTGACCGGATTTCAACATCAAGACTTCCTCTTGCGTTTTAAACCATTTAAGTTTTCCCATCAACAGGGGCTAATTTTAGCAGCACTGAGCAACCGGGGAGGCTTCTGGTCTCTTCACATGAGCAGGAAGTTGAGAATGAGCAATGAGAATGTCCTGAGGAGAAATGCTTGCTGACTCTTTTTGCCCGGGAAGCAAAGCACAAATAGTCAGGATGAGACCAGATAAAAGCTTTCGTTTAGGCTGAGACTGTTGTGAAAACTAGATGAAGCTGGACGAGGCATGTAAAGAATGGCTTCTAAAAGGCTCCTAGTAGTTACAAGCAAAGTGTTTGGTTAAATACACTAGCGGTCAGTAGGAATTAACAAGTGGGCTTCGGCGCGGTTCAAGTGTTCTTTGGCTCTCTGCTCATCAGCATTTTCAGCTTGTTTGACAGCTGTGTGCTTGTTTTACAATTGGTGCAATTCTATAAAACGTGCTGTTAATAAAAAATGCTGCTTATAACTGTTTGATGCGTTTTCTTTTCTCATTTATGTACAAATATCTTGATATATTGTGCATGATTTTTTTGTGATCTATTGCAAAATCTATGATATCGTGATATCTCAATACTGGGGATATCATGATAATGTCATATCACGGGTTAACCTGTGATTCCCACCCCTACTGATGAACCGTTAAAGGTCCCATGGAATTTAAAATAAAGCTTGTAGTTTGTTACCTTCGCCTAAGTGTAAATCAACAATTTTATTCACGTCACCGCATACATACTACAGTTTCTCGTCATATTATAACCAATCAAATGTTCTCTAGTATCTGACATGCCACGCCCCTTCAAGATGCTTCTCATTCGCTTTTCATTTGATGCACTTGATATCAACCACTCTCACTGTCAGAGCCGTGATAAAACAAAACATTATTGGCTGTTTTTTTAAAAGGGGAGGAGCTACACTGTCTCACCTTCTGTTTGTGTGTCGATTGAGATTTAGTCAAACATTGAATAAGAATGCACATTTCAAAGCACTTCACAGGACCATTAATGTCTTAATAATAGGCAGGTAATAAGCCAGAAGTTAATAGCATGAATTGTGACTTAAACTAAAGCTTCACAAAATTAATAATTATTTAAACAAGCTCATTCTACTCACAAAGGCTGAATATATTTAATCAAAATATACAGTAAAAATTAAGAAATGTTATTGTAATATAATATTCTGTCTTTTAATGAATGTAGTTTAAAAGCTGAATTTAAAGCAGCATTTTCAGCATCATTACTTCATCATTACATTACAGTCTTTAGTGCCACGCTATCCTTTAGAAACCGAATGAACAAATCCTTTTTACCAGCGTACAAATGAATGGGAACATGAATAAGGATAATGTGTTAAGTCAGTAGGTAGAGAGCATGTGGTCTTTTGTGGCTGGTTGAATGCATTTGACCACATGAGTGTTTGCGCTATGAAAGCAACCTTTAAGAATGCATTTTAACTCTCTTTGTAAGAGTGGTCAAACATTTTTGCCCTAGTTTAAACCTGTTTAGCGTTTAAACCTCCTTTTATAAATGTATTAACAACCAAATCTCAAAACCAAGCGCAAATGGGGCCTGAAACATCTTTGTGTGAGCTTAAATTTTATGAATTCGCTCCACTTTGTTACAATTTGTACAAAAACAGAACACTAAATCAATTTTATGAAACATTAATAAACTTTTACATTATGACTAATCTAGTTTGTTCTTTTTATTGTTGCTGTTCTAATATAATTTAATCATCACCCTCCTTTTTAAATGAAGATAGTAATCAGCCTTAAATCGGTAAGGAACTCTTCTGGGAAAAACCAAGCTTCTGAAACAGGCCGGTTTGTAGCTGTTAGGCGTAAGTGTGACAGTCACTTTCAGGGCGTGAAAGTGAGAGCATAACTGGGGAAGCATGGGAAAAGAGGATGTTGCTGAGAGATGTAGCTGCTGTGGTGGTGTTTTTTTATAGTTATGGGAGATTACAGCTGCGACTGTGTGAATTCTCACATTGGAGTCCCCTGCTTCAGCTCCATCAGCTGACGTGCTAATTTTGCTCATTGTAAACACGAATGGCTTTTTTTACGCCAGAGCGTGTGTGTGTGTGTGCCGGAGCACTTGTTTTCATTTCATGCCTGTCAGTGAAAAAGTGCTGTTCTTTCCTTTCTGAGGTTCAAAGATTAGTCATTCCTGAGCTTGTGAGAAGCCACAGGTGACTCACTTGTTTGTCAAGTGCACTCACGGTGTGTCCTGTCATGTTGGGTTCTGCTTTCTGGAAAGGCAAAATGGCTCATTGCCACAGATTAGGTTTAATGACATCAACAAAAATATTAAAGGCATGTTTGCACAGATACAAGAATGACTCGCCTAACAACAGGTCGAGTTTTGTTTTGATTGGCATACATAGTGTAAAAAGTGTTTGTTTTCTATACCTTTGCAGACAGCAGATTTGAGTAAATTGAGTACATTTAGGAGTGTGTATGTTTTTTTTTTCTCTAACGATAATTAAGGAAAGTGATGTTTTTGTTGCTTTGCTTTTAACCTGGCCTATCATGGATATATCATTGACAATAGAACTGCCAGTAGGTGGCAGCGGTTCCTGTCTTACTGCGTGATTTATTGAATCGTTTGTTCAAATGATTTATTGAAAACAGAAGATTTATTTCTAAACAAAGCAAGGCACTGATGTGTTCATCTTGAAGTGGTGTTGTGTAGACCATTCTGTGTGTGATATCAAAGAACCAGAGCAGTGATTAAAAAGCTGGCTGGTCCATATGCTTTCCATATGGTCTATGCAGCGCTGCTTTAAAGCCCAGTACACACCAAGACAATGCCAAAGAACTATCGGCAATGAAAACCGTCTGTGTGGACACTAAATATCAGCTGTGTCTGCTTCTGTCTGGAATAAAAAAAATAGCATGAAAACCAAATTAGTGACAGCCGACTGAAATAAGAATGTGTGTTATGCACCTACTTGAGAGGATGTGTCTTTCCATACCTGCAGGAAGCAGTAGTCAGTCTTGTCATTCCACTAAGGGAAACCGGAACTAGTGCTGCACACATACAAACTGCAAGCAAAAGCAGCATTACGTACATTGTCGATCACCACTAAGGATTGGCTCGTGCAATTATGTTTGATAATCTATATTACAGCCAGAATCTTTGTTCTCTTGACTTTTGTCCTCCGCTTAGTTTCATGATTTTAGTTTGTCTTCTCATGCTCTGATTTCTAACTGAACAGCCAATTAAATCACTCTTTCATCGATGGACTATGCCAACTCTAACATGCCTAATCTGGCAAACTCCCTTCGACGTGAGCCTGACAAGATATGACGTGTGAAACACGCCAAACAATCTATCTTGACAGAAGCTATTTGGTGGCCTAACATTTCCTAATGGCCAACTGTTGTCTTGGTCCCATCCTTAAAATGAGCACACCTCCGGTCATTGAGTGGATTGAACCAAATTGAACCAAATGATTATTATTATTTTTTTTAAACAGATCAGTTTAATAAGCAATGTGTAATTATATAATGCATTTATTGTGTATGGCCATACTCTTCCCCATCATGAGGGGGAGGAGTCTCCACCAGTTTGCAGAATCCACTTGGATGATGCGACTGCAACCACTGGACAACGGTATCAATGTAGTTGCCAAGCACCAGCTATAGATGGAGTGGAGAGACAGTGATAGAGCTAATTCTGAGCATGGGGATGATTGGGAGGCATGATGGGGAAGGGCCTATGAAGGGAATTGGCCAAGGCAGCAGGGTTGCACCCCTATTCTTTATGAGAAATGCCAAGGGATTTTTGAAGAGCACAGAGAGTTGGGACTTCTAAAAGACATCGCTTACTGGCAGTATAGTGTCCCGTTCACTTAACTGGGGCATTAGGACTCACACAGACTGCAGATTGAGTGCCCCCTGCCGGCCTCACTAACACCAGCAGCAACCTGGCTTTCTTATGTGGTCTCCCATCCAGGTACTGACCAGGCATAGTCCTGCTTAGCTTCTGAGAGTAACTGGTCTTGGGCTGCAGGATGATCTAGCTGTGGCATAGTTTAGGAATAAACACAACTGATGCTTTGATATCTGGCTTTAACTTTATTTTCATTAGCACAAATAGGAAAACAGACACTAATGTTTGTACAATGCAATTCACTTGTATTCTTTTTATAATGCTATTCCTACACTAATTGTGTTCGCATTCTCCACAAAAAAACAATTCTCAGTGTTTTTGTAACATTTTAGCAAAGCGAGTGGCCATGTAGTTTGACTAAAACATTAATTCCAATATTGTCACGGACAATAAATATAATCTAAAATACAGTCATTTGAAATGGCTTTTTGTCAGGATTAATCTGTCAAAAACTTGAGAATTTGGGGGAAAAGTTTCTTTTATTTACTTTTTTATTCTTTCTGAAGGAATGTAATATTTTATTTTTGGGTAGAACTTTTCAATAACAGTATTGGTTGTCCTGTTATAAATGTTATTTTGCAAAATACAAAAATGTGGCTGTCTTTTTTTTTCCTTTTCTTACCTAGTGCTAAATACGATATTAGACTTTTCCAGGCTTTCATATTATGTATTTTACAAGCTATCTTTTTAATCTAAGCACTGGACCTGATGCGGAAACTCATGGCTGTTTGACGTCATTGTTGTGTTTGTGTGTGTGTCACAGGACCCATCGGATCACCATCACAAACTTTTGCCTTGGCAAGCATTTGGTGAGTGAGGAAGATCTGTTAAAGGACCAGCGAGGTAGTCCAGCCTACATCAGCCCAGATGTCCTGAGCGGTGAGAATCCAGAGTGTGTGTGTGTGTGTTTATGTGTGACTCGCATGACTCACCCTCCATGTCACCACTGTAATCAAAGCTCATAAACCCAACCACCTACACGGCCCTAATCAGGACAGCAGTCACAAACCGTCAAAGCGGATGAGCAATAGTTGCATTTATTGAAGTCATTATTTGCATAGTGCGCCGCAAGACTTGACCTGTTAGCTCATCAACGACTCGATACCAAAACTCTTCCTCTACGCTGGTTGTCAAGGCCTCGGGCAGATCTCAGCAGTGCGGTGGATCAAATTAACAGCGCTTGTATCACGAGGTCTATCTTTCCAAACAATCTCTCTTTCTGCACGGAACTCCGGTTCATTCAAGTGATGTCATTTGAGTACACTGGGCTTGCTGTTTATCTTAAGTGTCAAACGTTTATGTTAAAGGAGGTGTGCTTTTGTCAAAGAAATGTTCTAGATTTTAAGAAAAAAGGTTGTGCTGAAAAGCTGTTAGTGGGCACTGTAGTTAACCGAGAAATATGTTGACATTTTTTTTTTTTTTATCTAGTATTTAAAAACACAATAAATATTATTATGATGGATGTCCATTGTGTGCTAAACTTTTCCTATTTATCATTTTGAATATGCAAATAATTATTATATGTTTATTAGACAATGTGTTACTTTTTTTTATTACTTTTTATTCATATATTTGACGTTTTACATTTTTTTAAACTCTTAAAATAAGAAAATATTTAGGCATATTAAACATCCCCAATATTTAATTCAATTCAATTCAGCTTTATTTGTATAGCCCTTTTACAATGTAGATTGTGTCAAAGCAGCTTCACATAAATGGTCATAGTAACTGGAACAGTGTAGTTCAGTTTTTAGTGTTTAAGTTAAGTTCAGTTTAGCTCAGTTCAGTGTGATTTAAAATCATTACTAAGAGTTCAAACACTGAAGAGCAAATTCATCGATGCGTAGCTCTAACAATCCTGAACCATGCGAGCCAGTGGCGACAGCGGAGAGGGAAAAAAAACTTCACCTGATAGGAGTGAAGAAAAAAAACCTTGAGAGAACCAGACTCAGTTGGGCACGACCATTTTAATTTCTCTGCTGGCCAAAAGTCTTGTACAGAGCTTCAGTCACCAATATTGTATCACCAACTGAGAAAGTAGGCTTTAACTAAAACCAAAGCTTAGAAAATGTAAATGTAAATGAGTGATGTTTCAGTAGCTATGTCTCCATCCACCTATTTTCATGCACATTTTGCATATGCGCATAAAAAAAAACAGTTGGAATGGCCAATATGCGCATTAATTTTAAAAATGCACACACAAGCTGGTTTATACATCTGCGTCGAGTGATCAGCGTGACCCACAGCATATGTATTGCGAGTAGCTGTAAATTTATACTTCTGCGTCAAGTGCTCGGCATGACTCACGGCACATGTATTGCGAATAGCCGTATATTTATACATCTGCGCCAAGTGATCGGCGTGACCCACGGCACATGTCTTGCGAGTAGCCGTATAGTTATACTTCTGCGTGCTGTTTGTGTTGCTCTGCAATAACACTTCTGAAACGCTAGTTGGCAGTAGGTTTTTTTGTTCCTCTCTATCGAGTTTCTTTGCAGGTGTTTTGTTTTTTCTGAACGCTACCTTAATGTGAAACCTGAAACTCACTCATTCAGTGGCAGAACCGGCGGATGTGCAACAACTTTAATCATAAGGTAAACACAAAACAAACATTTCCCTCTGGAGCTCCTTCATGGTGCTCGACACGTGTAAACAATGACTCCATCGGGCTCTCAGCACCACCCACACTCGTCACAGCTACGAAGCTGACCAATCACAGAGCTTGCGCTACACGTTGTTGTAGTTGCATTTTTTTGAGCGGTGCGGGTCACCGTCATCGTCAGCCACAGTGAGGGCTATGCGACCATGCGAATGCTGCGCCAGACCATACTTATGCACTTGACGCAGAAATATAAATCAGCCTTAACTGTGTAGAATACACTTTTTATTCGATAAAAAAATGCACATAAACTAAGATGAAAACACTTTTAATGAACAAATTCCAGTATGTGCATGTGATTTTGTTGTTAACCATTTCAGTATTAGTGTTATTAGATTATTAAGTACCTCCAGAATTATCAAAAGCATCTTAAAACGACACCATGTGTTCATTGCGTGTCGGCATTGTCTTCTGAGGTGCAAGTAATTTATTAAATAAGAAAAAGATTCACGCAGCTTCTCCTACCACAGTAAATTTCATTTTCACTTTTGATTTTTGGCTCCAGTTATTCAAGAAGTGGCGATTTTGTTCTCTTTTACTCATTAGATGGAAGGGCTGCTTTATTTGCACGTCTTTTTTGCGATATTCTGGTTTTGCGCATATATTTAATTCGCATTTGTGGATGGGAACATAGCTATTGACTTTTAAATTCGTTTTAATACTGAAAGGTCAATTTAAATATTTCATTTTGAACCAAATGTTATGTTTGAAAGGCAAAAAAAATTTAATGCGTGCTTTAAATCTAGTTTTTTGTTAACGCGCTTGCTAAAGTATCCTAACAACTCCCCCTTTCCAAAATCTGACTTTGTTGATGATGTTTTTGGGGGTTTTCCAACACCTCTATGGATGTAGGCTTTGGTTAGATGGTGCATTCCGAGCATGCATGTTAAACAGAGGCGCAGCCAAGCTCTTGTTTGCGGTCTCCATTCACAGTAAAATGACAGAAAGAAACCGGGAGTAAATCAGCCGAATATGACAGCAGAACAAAGGGAGAGCTGCTTCAGTGAGTCATCACAATGAGTCATGCAGAGAGGAACTACTCTTCCTGCTCTTTCTCTCTCTCTTCCTCTCACTGTTTTTTCCATTGCTCACTCTCTCGTTCCCTCTCTTTCGCTTTCTCATGCGTAGGGTCAAAGTAGAAGCAGAGAAATGTGTACCTTACTGAAAAAATATATTATACACATCGAGCTGTTTACCAAACACAAATCTACCCAATTAACCCCTCTTTTAAAACCCAGCTCCCATGACTCATTTGTACTCTTCTGGCACGTTGTGTTCTGTTGTCCATTTATGGTGGTAAACAAAGCTGTATGTTGAGCGTGAACAAGGTTTGGGTGACTATAAAAGATGGTGACATTGTTGGTAACATGTTTTATGTATGTACTACCATGGTTTGTGGTCATGACATTTCAGCAAGTGTGCTTTAAATTGGTTAAAATTAACCATCATTTTTTTCTAGGGTGGTACGGTGGCTCAGTGGTTAGCACTGTGGCTTCACAGCAACAAGGTTGCTGGTTCAAATCCTGGGTGGCCCAGTTGGCATTTCTGTGTGGAGTTTGTATGTTCTCCCAGTGTTGGTGTCTGTTTTCTCTGTGTTCCGGTTTCCCCCACAGTCCAAACTATACATGTGGTATAGGTGAATTGGCTAAGCTAAGTTGGCCATAGTGTATGTGTGTGTGAATCAGTGTATGGGTGATTCCCAGTTTCAAGTGTTTCTGCTGGAAAGGCATCTGCTGTGTGAAACATATATGCCGAAATAGTTGGTGGTACATTCCACCGTGGAAACCTCTGAAATGGAGACTAAAGGCTGATGGATACTTTTCCAAGCACACGCATATGGTCCGGCGCAGCCTTCATGTGGTCGTAAACGCCTCGTCTTGGCTTGCGCGCACCTCTCAAAAAATTTTACTAGTGCAAGCTCTGTGATTGGCGGTGCCTCGAGCCAGTTGGAGCGAGTATTTACAAGTTGTGGAGTCCCGTGAAGGAGCTCCAAATAGAAGCTTTTGTTTTATGTTTACCTTATGATCAAAGTTGGTTCCCGCCTCTGAATGAGCAAGTTTTAGCTACTTGTTGCATTCAGAAAAACAAAACACCCGTGAAGAAACTACATAGAGGAACATAAAAATCTACTACCACCTAGTATTTCGAAAGTGCTATTGTAGAAGAACACAAACGGCATGCAGATCTTTAAATGCTACACACAAGATAGGAACTGTGGGACACGCCAATCACTCTACGCAGAAGTATTTCATAAGCCGAAGGAAAATGAATTAATGTTTTCTACTGTCTTTTTAACCATAAAGAATATTTCAACTGTAAATTCTGTTATTTTAAACATAGCTTTTAATCAAAGAATAATGCTGTTTAATGGACTTACTACTAAATTAGTATTTCTGAAGGATCACACAGGAATAAATTGAATCTTAAAATTAATTCTATCAGAAAACCATCTTTATACAGAATTTACTTTTTTTTACAGAACAAGGTCAGCAAAGAGACTTCTTACGAAAACAATCATATATTGTCTCCATACTTTTGCACTGTTGTGCATAACTGATTTTCAGTTTAATTAAATTAGGTTGTTGGCTATTTCCTTGCCAAACTAATTCCATTAACTGCTGCTGGTATCTTTTGGGCGCTAATTTGGGTTCACTGCTACTTCTTCCAGTTTAATGCAAGTCAGGCTTTTAAATCATGTCTGCTATGTGTAATCACATCTACTTGAAAATGAACTCTAAATGATAATTTGGTAACACTTTATAATAACTACACACTTAGAATCATTTGTTAAGCATTACCAAATAGTTAACTCATTATTTGTTAAGCATTAGCTCTACATAATAAAACATTAGTAAGTAGTTTATAACTACATACAAATGCTGTGTTATTGACTTAAAAATCCAATTATAATTTTTTTAATAACTTCACTTTCATACTTTGTTACTGATTAATTATTCATTACTAAATTAAGTATTGCATTATTTACAAATCATTTGTATTTAAGAGTAGTTGGTGATTTTTTTAAGAGCGTCTAGAATGAGTTGGTAAACGATTAAACTATTCAAATCAACGTTTTTAGATCTTATTATTCAGGCATATAGTAATGGCAGCTATGTATGTTAGTAAATGCTTTATTAACTCAACTTCATGCAGTTTTGTGACCTAATCTAAAGTGAGGGCTATTTATGCTTAAATGAAAATTAAAGGCTCACATTCAAATGTCTATTGATGTAGAGTTATTGCTTAACAAATGATGGGTTGACTATTTGCTAATGCTTTATAAATGATTAATAGTGTGTAGTTATTATAAAGTGGTACAGATAATTTAATAAAATGCTTTTATGCAAGTACATGAATTCAAATGTTTCTAGAAGCATGCTTTTATTTCAGGTGATTTCATAGTGGAGAATAGTTTAGTAAAATCAATAGCAGTGGTTTATAACTAACTATTCAAATGTGACAGGGTCAATTAAGTGTCTTTCTCGACATGTGTGTATTCTAATGTTTTTTCAGTGATCCGATCACTAGTGGTCAGAAATGACTTATGACCATTTCCACCTGCTATTAAAATGTGTTCTATGCATCTCTTGTCATCAGTTTTTTTTTCGTATTTGTAGAGGGTTGGTTTCTTGACCCAAGAGGCAATTTCAGTTTGATTGTTGTAGAAATGATCGATTAAAAAAAGTATTTTGTGTGTCCATGTAGGTCGACCGTATCGTGGCAAGCCCAGTGATATGTGGGCACTCGGTGTAGTGCTGTTCACCATGCTTTATGGCCAGTTCCCATTCTACGACAGTATACCTCAAGAGCTCTTCCGCAAGATCAAAGGAGCAGAGTACTCCATCCCTGAGTGAGCGTCTCCATTATGTCTTTCTGCTTTGATATGTATCCATTCTGTTTAAATAAGAGAATTAGCAAATATTGTGCTTGTTTTCAAGGGTGGTTTACTTAAAAATGGCAATTTTGATTGCAACAAATTCATGTTGTTTACATTTGAATGTCAATGTTTACATTCAACAACAATTAGGTTTTTTTTTCTTAAAAACTGTTAGAACAATTTCATGATAGTTGTGCACTCGTTTTGAAGCTTAAAATCATTTGAAGTTTTATGATTTTAGAATTTTATAATATGATTTTTGTGAACTATTTCTCTAAATAAAGGCTCTTAAATCTGTATCGTGTAAATGGAAATGCTTATTTGTCTTTTCCACAGGGATGGACGTGTCTCTGAAAGTACAGTGTGTTTGATCAGGAAGCTCCTGGTGCTTGACCCCCAGCAGAGGCTCACCGCCACAGAGGTGCTGGAGTCTCTGAGTGCAATCATCGCATCCTGGTGTGTCTCATCTCTATATCTGAAACTGAGATCAACTTCATACTTCCCTTTTTTTAGCCCAGACTTATTTGTCAGAGTTCAGATAACTTCTTAGGAATTCATGTGATCGGATGATGTCATCTTTGGTCAACAATGTTGTCTCGCCACATTTTTGCAATTCGTTGCACTTTTTAGTCATGCATCAAGCTCCCTTAGGTGTAGATTTGAAAGTACCCAATTGTCATTGTCTATTTTTACCATGTTTCTTTTCTTTTTAAATATAAATAGGCAATCTGTTTCCTCGATGAGCGGCCCTCTGCAAGTGGTGCCAGACATAGACGATCAGCTTAACCACCCTGAGCATCTTCAGGAGGTCAGTCCACACTCACAGGAGCTGAAATAATATACAAAGGTTTAAGTTGAAGGGTCTTATATTTTAAACACAATCATACTCAATATATAAACAATTCTTTAGACAGGTGGCTCTAAACCAGAGGGCATGATCAAACATCCTATATAACTTAAAATGACTTCTAAGAAATTGTTGTTATGATTATTGTTTACATTTTACAGAGGAAGTGCTTGCAAGTATTGTGGCATCTATATGATATATTGCATACATGTTTTGATTCAAATAATTATAAATTTATGTAAGAACTATTTTATTAATACATTATATGAAGAGTTCAGATGCAAAAACAGATGCAGATTTTTTTCTTAGCCTCCTACATTTATGTTCAGTAATTTCATTTTAAAGGTAATGTAAAGAACTTGTTTGTCACTATAAAAGTATAACTACTGAACCTTCACACAGGAGTCGGAGAAAAATGCTAAATTTAATAGTAAATATCAAATGGAATTTAGAGGTTTTTGCAACTAAACTCTTCATATGTAATTCAGTCATGTATGATAAATAAGCAAGATAAAATAATGTAAAAATGTCAGTTTTCAAAAGAGTTTACTGAACATCAGGTCTTCCATTGGCTGTGCAAATTGATAGTTACATCATTATTTAGTTTTGTCAGGCTGGGGTCCGTTCTTCGTGCGTAGATTACACAATCAGCTGGATTTGGTTATTGATGATTTGACATGATCCAGGATCATTTTCTTCTTCAAAACTCATCCGAGAGTTGTTGCCATAACAACACTTCAGGTAGCTCGAACCTTCTTGGGAGCGGGCTTATTTCATATTAACAGGATTAGATCTGGTCTTTTCAAGCAAAGGTAATACTAAAAAAACAATTCTGATATTTTTGAAAATAGTAAGTAGTTAAACAAATTATATATAAAAATTATTTATATATGATTAAAAAAATGTACACAAAACTTATGCACTTCACATAAAATCTGCACTTGAAATAAAAGTACAAAGACTGTCATGGGGTGGTGCTCCCTAAGGCAGGGGTGTCCAAACTCGTTTCTGGAGGGCCAGTGTCCTGCAGATTTTAGCTCCAACTTGCCTCAATACACCTGCAAGAATATTTCTGGAAAGCTGTGGTGACCCCGGATTATTAAAGGGACGAAGCTGAAAAGAAAATGAATAAATGAACTTTAGTACAATTTGTGTGTGATAGTGGACATGTACAATATTTGACTATTTTTAAGTTATTTAAGTAATAAATTGTTTAAATTTAAGTAAAAATTTATGCAGTCATACACATGTTTTGACAGCTAATATGACTGTGATTTGATGCTTTGCAAAAGGTGCAGACACCTTTACCGATATCAAAATACTTTTTTGATGCAAAATGAATTTTAACTCAGTTATTCCTTACTCGATTAAGAAGCTTAAATTGGCCTAGGCTACTATGATGAAAGAAAAATCCGCTCTAAATGTAAAACTATATAAATTGCTAAATACTATTGACACATGAAAGTGTAAAGCTTGGAGCTTACAACAAATTTGGAAAGTTATTTATCATATTTAACAAACCCTTTACTACAAATCTTGTCATTTTGCTCACATGGATGATTGAATATTATTCAGATGATGTCAATATGCTGCTGTGCCGTCAGCCATTCATTGTATTGCTGATCATGTTTTTGTGGATCGAGAGATCAGTCCTTCACCACATGCAGCAATCTCAGATCAGTTCATCCAGACATTTTAATTTGATTCACAAACTTGTTTGGAAAACCAAATTAGCCAGAGATCAGTTATCACGATCAAAACATCCAGGATCTGTTAAATTAAGAATGGACCCCAGGTTTGGATTTTAAAGCAGTGTTTTGAAAATGCAGCCAGAGGCTTGTTGGCAGTTGTATTTCGCTTATTAAGCTTGGATTGACAACAATAGAAGCTAGAACAATAGAAGTATCAGCTTGATTATGCTCTTGCTGGCATTAAAACAGATTCTCATTGCCCCCTCCAGGCGAAAGTGACAGAGGAGTCGTCTCAGTATGAATTTGAGAACTACATGAGGCAACAGCTCTTGTTGGCAGAAGAGAAGAACACTATCCACGAGACCAAGAACTTCCTCAGCAAGAGGCATTTTGGTAACGTGCCTCCAGTGAGGCGCCTCGGCCACGACGCTCAGCCCATCAGCCCTCTGGACGCCGCATTACTGGCCCAGCGCTTCCTCCGGAAGTAGAACCACCGTACTGTCACCAGGAGTGAAGCGAGCCACGGAACTGGGCGCACACTTGTGTATGTTTGTGCATGTGAGAGAGAGAGAGAGAGAGAGAGAGAGAGTGTGTGTGTGTGTCCGGCAAACACTGGCCAAGGAACAGCTCAGCACCCTGTCGCTACATTCATCAGCACAGGACACAAACAGGTCTAATGAGACTCTGAACACCATGTCCACCTTTGCCCAAATCTGACACACACTCACTCACTCACACACACGCACGCACACATAAACAGCAATACCCCAACAGAATCATGTAGCAGATCACACACACATAACACACAACCACCCTTTCCCATCCACCTCTCCCCCAGCACTTTCTACAGGAATGCCTCGGATCACATGATCAACCCTTTTGTTCTGTTCCCATCAACCATTATGTCTGTTTCACTCTGACTGCAAATCTACCTCTTACCATTTTTTTTCTATCTCTCTATTTCCTCCTTTCTCGGTCAGTTTTTAGCAGCGCTCTCCGTTCTGAAAGCAGGACTCGTCGTGTTGAGCGGGAGACAAGCACAGGCTCAAGAGCATTAGCATTGTGGTTGTGTAACTATCTTGTCAAAACCAGTGATTGGTTTTTTCCTTGAAAATAAGCTCCCCCTCTCCTCTTCTACTCAAACAGTAGCATTTTGAATACGATTATTCTTTCTTTCCATTGAAGATGTTAACTATCACAAGTTAGAAAGCTAATAACCTCATATTACCGAAGCGCATGTTTCACACTCCTCTTTGAATGGGTTTCTGTTGGCAGCTAGCATCTGTGTCTGGATGCGTAGAACCAAAACTTGGCATCCAAACCAGCCGATATGGTACGTTATCCCATCCCTTCCACCCTCCCTCCCTCCTTCTCTTTTTTTTTTTTCTTTCATCCAATCTGAAGGCACCAAACGCTAAAGACCACCATTTCCTGTGCATTTGACCAGTGTACGTTTCATCGCTTGATGCGCCACCGCAGCGGACTCTTAAGAGCTGAGCTGGGTGGCACTGGTGTGGATTTTCTTGCGTCACGCAGGGCTGTGCTTGGAAAAAGACAAGGTACTGGACAGCTGGTGATGGGATGAAACTGTCAGGAAGCAGGGCGGCTGAGCCGGTAGTCATGCGGAAGTCTAAGCCAAGATAAGCCCTGTAAGCACAGCCCTTAAGACCTCCTTTTCTTTGGTGTCCCTCCATCAAGAGCGCTCGCCCTCTCTGATTGCATGCCAAGCCATCAAAGTGCATCTTCCGCCATGTCTCCGGTGCTTTTCGTTCCCCACACAGATTTCAGCTGCAGCTCAGGGATCATGGATTGGCCGCTAGGGAACGTTTCCGGCAGCAGTGATACACAAAGAAACCCATTGGACAGGGGACTGTCTTTTTGTTTTTAATCCCATCTCCTCATCCACCCCTCATCTCCATCTGTGGTCATTAAATAATGTTCATCAGGAAGGAAATGCCATCAGTCTCACTCAATCCGTTTCTTACAAGGAAACATTTGACTTTTCTGTTTGGTTTTTTTCCCTCAAATCCTGTTTTAAGCTACCCCATGTGTATAAAGCATAACTGTGGGATATCTTGCCTTAGATTATCGACAGATTCAACCGTGAGCAGTGAATATGTACTTTTGATGCTAGATTATATCTTAGTATACTAGGCGGTTGGCTTGCATTGACCTGTGGCTTAGTTTGCAATGCCTTTATGTCCGGCTCCACTCATGTCGTTTAGATGAAAAGGTCATTCAGTACTGTAGGTCTCTCAACTCATGGCTAGCAGCTTGGCTTGTCCTTTTTAACCCGTACTTTAATTTCCTCTGTACTTCTCGCCTTTCTGTTTTCCTTTGTAATTTATTTGCTGTTTATAATTCGTCTGCCATGGTAAATGTAGAGATCATGTATCACTCAGAAGCATTGCTGTGATGTCTCACGTTTTTTCCTTCTATCTTCAGTGAAGGTTTTTCTTTTATCGACTTTCTTCTTTTTTTTTTATTCTTGAATAATTATTGCAACAATCCTATTGGTATATTAAGCTACACTAATTAGGAGACTGACTTTGCATAGCTCTATTTTTAAGTCAACTAAATTATCGTGCACGTTAGCATAACATGTAGAGTTTATCTTGCGAGGTAAGGATGATATCGCACTCTGGCCAGTGTGAAAGACATCGCAGTGGCGAAATCAGTAGTGCAAAACCCAGTACAGGGTGTTAGTACTTTGAAGATTCACACCAACGTTTCAGCGCAAGCCACCATCGAAAGCATTAGTTTTTCCCACCTCAATGTGAATATATTTGATCGTAAAGCAGTATTGTAGTGGATAATATGTGTGACTTGATGACGGAGAAGAGCAAAGTCTTTTGCGTAGTTTCCAAAAGGAGATCCAATATCCTAGGTCCACGTAGAGATATCACGAAAGCCATTATATCATAGCGAAATCCGTAAGGTTGCAATATGACTGCTGTTGATGTGATTGTTTAGTCTGTATCCAAAACCTATTAAAGAATTAGTATTTTTCAGTTTTAATATAGCCCCCTTTTCGTAAGTGACTGCAAACGGCCCCCCCTCCACCCTTGCATAGGCAGTTTCGTGATGTCCAAATTCTGTCTGCAGCATGAGAAGTGTATGTTGTTGAGCTCTGTATACATTTTACAATTAACAATTAGTGCATGATTCTGATAAGCAAGACGCGCCACGAGATGCAGCAGAAATTGGAGTGAATGTGGGAGTTTGCAAACGCTGAGTACTCCGAAAAAGACACTGCAAGGGAAAATCCTAAACATTAGGTTTGATTTTCTTTTCTTTTTTTAAGCCACTTTGTGCAGGTGTTTCATAAATTGGGAGGTTCGTCTTTTGAATTGTTACCTTTTTTTCTGCGTCTTTTATTAAAACTGGAAAATTAAAATCTGGTATAAAATGAAACTAGTCAAAAGCCTGAAAGTTTGATGTCGTAAGCTGCTCTGTTAGAATGGTGTCAAAGGAAAAAAAAAAAACTGGGTAATTGTACAGAGATGAAAAACAAATTTGTATAAAAGACATATTTTTGTACTTCATCAAATCTCTACATGCATGTCAGCAATAAACTTTGATATGGAATTTGTTTGTTTATGGTTTTGTGTATATCTATACTGTTGTGCGGGATCATGGTGGCTCAGTCGTTAGCAATGTCTCCTCACAGCAAGAAGGTTGCTGGTTTGAGTCCCTGCTGGAATTTGCATTTTCTCCCTGTGTTTGTTTGTGTGGGTTTCCTCCAGGTGCTTCAGTTTCCCCACAGTCCAAAGACATGCAGTATTGGTGAATTAAATAAGCTAAACTGGCTGTAGTGAATGTGAGTGTATGAGTGTTTCCCAGTGCTGGGTTGTGGCTGGAAGGGCATCAGCTGCGTAAAACCTGCTGGATAAGTTAGTGATTCATTCTGCTGTGGTGACCCCTGATAAAATAAACAGACTAAGCCGAAGGAAAATTAATAAGTGAATTAATATAGTTGTGTGTCTGCAAAAACACTGTGCAGTCATTTTGTTCAACGCATTTCAGGATTAAAACTTTGTTCCTATTGAAATAATCTTTTGTATTGATTCTCAATGGTTATTTGGAAGCTGTCAGTGCATTTGGTGACGGTCTGAGAACCGGTGTTCTGTCGATTTGTCCTACCTTGTCAGATTGTCTGTCCTACCTCCCATTCAAAAAGTAGGTAGCACATTTTGATGACGCAATATGCTACCCATCAGATTTTGCTACCAATGCAAATTTGAATGTTGAGTATTGTGATATGAAGCTGTAAGATCATCATCACCCTAACCCCAACTTCAGAACCATTCATATACAGAGTTGTACTTGGTAGCATAATCTGACGGGTAGGATAAAATGTCAGGACACCTGTATTCACCACTGCATTTTAGGTGGCGTTCTGCCCTCTTGTGGCAGACAAGTGTAATGACACGCAGTGATACCCAGACTAATATAATTTCTCAATTTATACTATAAAGTACATTGATTTGTTTGGGTTATGTGATGTTGAGAGCAATTCCAAAGCTTTCTTTGTGATATCATCCCAGCTAACCTTTATATATATCCTGCAATCCACTTGTTTTTGCAGTGTCTGGTTTAAAAATGCTTATTTTTATATCAATTTCGAAGGCTGTATGCTATATATTCCTTAGAAAAAATATCACTTTAAAATACATATTATTACTAATCTGAGTTATATGTTACTTGTTATGATGGATGGATGGGCGCACTCTTTAGAGCTTTAAAAACAGCCTTCACTGCTCCATCAAAGTTGGAATAAAGCCAGTGCTTTATTTAATGTAACTTAGATTGTGTTTGTCCTAATGGAAAAAGGCACACACACCAATAATGGCTTGAGGGTGAGTATATTTCTGGATAATTACATTTTTGGATGAACTATTCCTTCAGGTATCTACATTTCCTCTTTTACAGAAGACTTTCGGCATCGTAAGTGCTCATTAATCATCTGAATGTTTGTGTAGATGTTGGAGCTCTGGTCATTATTCTCCTGTATTGTATGTTATCTGCCAATTTTGTTTGCCAGAATAAGCTTCAGTGTGGACCCAACCTTATTAGTCAAAGCAATGATTATGGCAAGCTGTGTTAACATTAAATTGCTGTTCATTAGTTACTATTTTATTTACTAGCACATTTTTTTAAATAAACTATACGTCAATGCAAAGATATCTTGTTTCAGCTTTTAATACTTAAATCTCAATTTCTAAACCGACTTTGTGGTACTGGGTCATAACTGGGCTATTAGTCTCTAATGCCTCATTTCCACTGAGTTGTGAGGTACGTTATGGGTCACCTTTATCAGGCTTGTGTCTTCACTGCCAAAGAGTACCCTTTTGTTAGGCATGGTGGTGTACAACAGAAAGTCAGAGTCGATGACATTTCCTTGTGCGAGAATGATAAAGTAAAACTGTATGGGTCATCCATATATCATACAAAACATAATTTATACAAGTAAATTGTTGTGTGTAAATGTTCATTATTAACCTTTCTGTGAATATCTGCAATTAAGCCTATATAAAATAAAATAAAAAAATATATAGCCCATAAATATATACAGCCTCTTACAGTCTCCGAAATATTAACAATTACAAAAAAATAACACACAATACACATTTAGGCTTTTTTTTTTTTTGGTTTTAAAAAACAATTCGACACATATAAGATTACAGTCAAGGCAAACTCCTCTTTAATCTTCACCAGCACATGTAACCTAGTTGTAATTCTGTCTCTTAGTAATTCTGTCATTGCCAGTTTTTAATAGTCCAAAAGGTGATGACAATAGTTAAACATGGTGGTTTGTTCATGTTTTAGGTGGCTGAAACAGTCATTTGACCCTTTTTTTTCTCTCGCATTTGTCAGTTTCTGAAAGGATGTGAGAGTCAGCACTTTACTAATAATGCAGACGTTATTATCTTGAGCTCAAGTTAACTGTTTTACATATAAACCTTTGGAGAGCACACACAAATATGGGCCGTTTCCAATGAGTGGTAAGTTTCAGCACGCTTTTTTGGCCGTTTTCACTGTCTAAAGCAGGGGTGCTCAACCCTGTTCCTGGAGATCAACCTTCCTAAAGAGTTCAGCTCAAACCCTGATCAAACACACCCGAATCAATTAATTAGGACCTGAACAGCACTTGATAATTACAGGCAGGTGTGTTTAATATGGGTTGCAACGGAAATCTGCAGGAAGGTCGATCTCCAGGAACAGGGTTGGTCACCCCTGGGCTGCGTCCGAAACCGCCTACTACTTAGTAGGTGCTGCATTTGAATTTAAACGAACTACTCGGCCGTTAAAAAAGTACGTTCTATACAGTATGAATGTGAAAAGTATGAATGGAATTCTTACGTACTACATCTGCCATTTTGTCATGGTCACGTGACCTACCTGCGTCAGTTGCGTCGCCTCACTTCCAATCATGAATTCTCTCACGAGGCATTATGGGACAGCGCAGCGTGCATGAGATGCGCACTTCAGAATCTAGTAGAAGTAGTACGTCAACCGGGTACTTCTCGCCTACTGATTTTCGAATTCTATAAATTCGGACACACTACTTGGCTCGCATACTGATTTTAGCGTACTATATAGTATGGAAGTATGCGGTTTCGGACGCAGCCCTGGTCTAAAGGTACAAAAAAATAAAAAAATTTCGGAACGGTATCTAGCACAACAAAAGGGTACCAAAAGTCGTAGTGAGACGCGCAGCTGAACGCTATTGGTTCATAGAGAAACATCACTACTTGCATGAAATCAAAGGAAGCAGCATTTTTAAATGCACAACCGAGACATTACTTCGTAATAATATATACATATGTTAATGAGCCATGGTCGACCCAAGCTCAAACAAACCTTGTCATCTTCATCGTGATGAACAGCCACAAAGCCAAGAAGAAGAGCAGAATCTACGCTGTGCCCTATAGTTGTTTTCAAGGCTGTCTAAAGCGCGAGCGGTTTCACTTTCTTAAGTGTTTTGCCATGCACCTATGTTCGAAATATTTCTTCTTGAGCTGATGATAATAATGTGTGCATGATTATTGAAGTGCTTCTGACATGTGATCATGTCAGAAACAGACAAGCACCTTTTGGCAGTGGAAACACAAGCCTGATAAAGGTGACATGAACCCTAATGGAAACGGGCAATAAAAGGCCACATTTTGTAAATAAAATGTTAAAACGGCTTGCCATACGAAGCAAACAGTTCGTACACGTGAACTTCATCTCCCAAAAGAGTTGCAAAACCAACTTGAGCTTAATAGTTTACAAGGCATTTATCTGTTGAAAGCATATTTTGACAGCAAACTCTCCCCTAAACATATTCAACTGGTTCTGGTTAGTTGTCCTTTATCGCCGTCGAGTGATTTCAAACAGCACGAAACATTCACAGGATGCATACAAGGCCTCCATATGAGCTGCTGAACAAAACTGTGCTCGCAAAGCACATTCCTCGGCCGTTTGTTTTCATTTCTCTGTGTCTGTCCCTAGTGTGCTCAAAACAACATATAGGAGTTTACGTGCGCGATCTCCAGAGCTCGTTTTGGACATCCTTTATTGATTTTTTTCTTCTTCAAAATATTGCATAAAATATCCGGCTCATTTGTTTCCAAATATGCGGATATTCCGAGTAGTTATACATTTTGTGGTGAGGATGATGAAGCTTAAATACATTTATTTTTTTATGTGTGAATTTGTTCAGAAATTTTGGTTTGACTATCGTTATTTAAACACTCCTCCATCTTTGCACAATCTTTTAGTTTAAAAGAAATTATTTGTTATTACTCAAAATCTTCACATAAATCTAAAGAATTTATCTTCGACTTTTTTATCTTGTTTAGAAATTTTTTTATACAAAAGCAAAAATGCATGGCTTCAGTCGACATTTTCTGATTGAAGATGACTAGCTGCTCAAATCTTTCCGTATGTAAAAAAAAAATGTGTCAGATTCCTGGTTCTGTATGAAGAACTGTTGTCTATTGACTCTGATTTGAGTAAGATTCCTAATGCTCTTAATTTGTTTTCATACACTTTTATACAATTGTAATTTACCTACCCCTTTCTTTGTTTTGTTAGTCTTTTTTCTTTCTGCAGCTAATGAAGCTTGTATTTTTTCTCCTTTGTATATCAATCTCCGAATTGTGGTTGTATATTTGCATTTTTTAATAAAAAAAAGAAAGACATCCTTTATTGATGATCTGATTTCCTGTCAAGCCGTGTTCAGATAAGGGATGTGTTCCTTGCAGTCATTGGTTCGTTTCGCTGATTCATAAAGTCTCCTCTCCTCCTGTAAGCGCTTGGCCTACGGCAAGCTGAATTAACATTTAATCTATAAGCCGTATCTACTTTAATGCTAGTAGTGTAGGCCTATATTGTAGGTACGAATATATTATATATTAAGAACTACCTGATCATAAACTAGTGTGCATTTCTTCAATTACAAGTTCTTTAGTTACAAGTAGTCTATTAGTTGGCTACAAAGATAGGATATAACAGCCTGATCTCACAAGAAAATGTAAATATTTTACATTTTGCCAGTTTAGTGGCTAATTCGTACGAATTCGTATGAGTTCAGTAGTAAG